TCTTTCTTTCTTTCTTTCTTTCTTTCTTTCTTTCTTTCTTTTTCTCTCCTCAAAACCATTTGATCTTTTAAATTTCAATAGTAAAACATTAAAACAAAGTATAATTGATATAYATAGCATATWATAAAATGTATTAACACATACATTAATAAGATACATCAATATAAATGACATTATAAAAGGCGCCCGCCATGTAATTTTTGTCGCCTAGGCGGGCGCTTAGTCGCCTAGGCGATGCCTTGACAACTATGTCACGGGCCGGGCCGGGCCGGGCCAGTTTTTACCTCTACATTAACAAAATATGCTCAGGCCCGAGCCCAAGCCCGGCCCGACCATTGGGCCTAGGTCTTGATCCCGAGCCTGGCCCTCATATAAAGCCCGAAGCCTGGGCCCGAGCCCGAGCCCAACTAGAAATTTGGAGAAAAGATTTTTTTCCTTTTTAATTCAATTAAAAGTTGTTTTATTTATACTAAAAGACCTCAAAACCAAAAAAAAAAATAATGAAAGGTCTCATTATTACTTGAAAAAAGAGAAGAAAAATGTATTATATATATGCTTTTTATTATATAAAATATATATTTGTTATATAATACATTATCAAGTTGGGCTTGGGCTTGGGCCGGACTTTTTTGAGAAAGTCCGAGCCCGACCCGCAAAAAAGGTTGGGCCCGATATTTTAGGTCCGAGCCTAAGCCCACGGGCCTGAAATTCTGTCCAAGCCTAACTTAGATCGGGCCGGGCCGGGCCGGCCCATCGGGCTACTTGGCCCATGAATAGGTCTATTAGGAGGGATGGGTTTGGACCAACTTTCTTTACAACGGAAAGGCTGAGAGTAAGAACATAATACAAAGAGAAGAAAGAAGCACAAGAGAACAATCCCAAAGGGTACAACAACGACACCCCTTCTCCTAGATTCTCTCTCTCTTCTTTTCTTCTCCCTTTCGAAGTCCGCCCGAATAAACACTATTCATCGCCCCTTTTCTCTTGACACCAAACTGAGGCAATGAACCAGCGGCAAATAGAACTTCCAATGCTAGTAATAGTGGAAACCTTTTCCTATCTCTGATATCTCTTAATCTCTCTTTCCCTCTCTCTTCCTCCTTTCTCCCCTCTTCTCTTTCTTTTCATCTTCTCGATACCGTACCCCTTGTTTTCCCCAAAATAGATTGTTGCTACAACTTTCAACAGCGGAAATATGCTCCTTCCCTCTCAATCCAATTTCATTTCCTCGAATATTCTCGTTAGTCCCTCATTATTTTGTTCTCTCCATTACTTTTCTACATCACTCTCATTCCCCTATCTCATTTACCTAACCTAAATATCCACCACTGCTGCAACTTATAACGGGGTAGAACACCACGCTCTCATTCATTCCCTATTCTCCTTCTACCCCTCTTGCTCTCTGTTGCATCCTATCTTCTCTAGTTTTTGACCCCAACCATTCCCTAAGTCCTCTATCCTCTGTTACTTTCATCGGTGGGTTGAAATTGACGACAACATTCATCTTGTAATATTAGGTTCCCCTTAGCTTTGAACAACAAACCTTGTCATCCCCACCAACATCTTGGTGAAATCTCCAAATTGCCACTATTTGAAGGTAGGCAGAACACTCACCCTGACGATCATGTTTTCTCTTCAAGCTCCAGTTAAAATCCATCAGTCGCGGTCGTTCACACTAATAGAAACAAACCCCTGTGGGAAAAGAAAACCCTAATTGGAGAGAAATCTCTCTCCTCCTAGTATCTCCCAACAGAGAGAAGATTGAATCGACCACTCCAGAAGGCCCAGAAAGGTCTAGAAAACTAACCGCCTTCTACAGAAAAATAAAAGAAGTCAAACAATACCTGTGCGCCCAAGATCAGACCAAGAACAAAGAGTCCAACTTTTCTAGGACTCTTCCCCGTACTCAAGTTCCTCCTGATTTTGATGCCAAAACGTAGATCACCTTCCTGATGACTCGACCTCACCAAAAAATCCAAGAACTGGGCAATCAATAGCAGATCGACCAGCCTCTTCTTACTTCATGCAGTCGGCTAATCTAGGGCTGCATGAGGATGCTTCAAGAACCCTAAACCTTGCTCTGATACCAAGTAAAAATCTGCTGGAATTTAAAAATATAAAAAATATAAAAGAAGAAGGTGTTTTCTTGAAGAGGAAAGAGAGAGAGAGAGATGTTGAAGAAGAGAAGAAGAAATAAGTAGGAGAGCAATAATCTGGCCGCCCCCTTCTCTTGTTATTTATAATAAAAAATATAAGAGTACAAAGACTACTATGCCCTTATAGGGCGGCAAAACATAAAACAGTATGTATAGGACTCAAAAACATAATAAAATTTGGACTCACATAACTGTTGTGGTCCCCACTACCTATCTAATAACTAACATAACACAACTATTCTAAAAACAACACAAGCAGTGGCTTCTACAGTCTCCACTAAGAACAAATTAGAAGTTGAATGGAAATCCCCACCGGATGGAGTGGTAAAATTGAACTTTGATGGCAGCTGCCAAGGTAACCCAGGGCCATCCGGAATTGGAGGGATTCTGAGAGATAAAGACAGCAATATGTTGTCTCTTTTCTCAGGACCAGTGG